TGGTATCTAGCCTGGCAGATATTACTGAAAACCAGAGCAGGTAAACAATTATTCTTATATAAGCTTTACATAGCTTGAAGTAATTTTACAAACTTAATTTGAAGCCATGGGATTTTTGGTTGGTTTGTTAGGGTTCATCTCAGGGAGGTCAGCTCACGGCACGCCAGTGTCGGTCCAGGGCCAAGGGGGAGGGTGGGAATGCTCTGGCTGCCCCACTGCGACCCACACGCAGGCCAACACAAGCTGGTGACCCCATGCCAGGAATGCAAAAATGACTCGAATTGCAACCTCGGCTGCTTCTCAAAGGCATGTAACCATAAAATGACAGCACAGTAGCTGCAAAATATCAGAGGAATTAGCTACTTCACTACACATCTGCAGAAGACAGTATAGATGTGCTTCAGTTAATTAAGGCTCCTGTGCCAGAAAAAGGCTCATGTGATTTTTCCTTCGCAAGCATTTTCTTACTCATATCTAGACTCTCAAAGCTGCGCCTTTCAGGATCACCTCTCTGCCCTAATACCATTTGATAGCAAATACAGGGCAATGGTCTAGTTTCATTACAATCTGACCACAGCTGACAAAACCACTGACTCAAAACATCTACCTGGAAGCTTATTAGACAACTGACATTATTTTAAACATGTGCATGCATGCACACATTTTGATATAGATATCATGCTGTGCCTGTAAGTGCAGAGCCCTTAGTCCTCTGCGAGATGCCAAGCCTTAGCCTCCAAGGGGATAAGACCTCTTGGCTCCCACCAGTTCAATAGGAACTGAATTCATTCCTTGCACAGCATCTGAGGCAGCAAGCAAACACCTAGCACGTGGTTCAAAAAGGAATGTACTTTATCTATTTCTTACACTGTCTCACAGAAGAGCCCTACGCAAGGTCACATCTGACCAGTTATTATTAGCTGGCCTTTTATTTTTTCTCTCTCTAGAGATCTTTGCAGAAGAGGAAAACAGTAACTGCTATCCAAAATATTCACCGCCTTCTCAGTGAAACAATGAGCAGACAAATTTCACAAGGAGATCAGATGGAGAATGGTCTACGCCATACTATCCCATACATAACAGACAAGCCTACAGATGAACTGCAGTGATTATACATATAAACTGTGGTTAACTATAAAGCTCGCTGATGGTCTCCATGGATTGTGTATGCTTTCTGTGGGGGAAAACCTTCAACCGTCCTCCTTATCAATCTAAATGAAGAATAATCACAACAGAAACTGGGATGTTCATCATCACCTCAGCAGTTCGAGCACTAAGGATGTTAAACTTAAAAAATTATTTAACGTTAAGTGCTGTCAGACAGAAAGTATAATCCAAGCAAAAACATGAAACAAAGTTCAAAACCAAATGCAAGCATAAAGCTTTCCTCCTCAGTATGCGAAAATATTTCACTTTGATTTGAAACACATCTCATATGTAAAAATAGAGATGTACATAATAGTTCTGCATTAGTGAAGCAGTTTATCTGCTTGCTCAAAATAACAGGCAAACAACCTAAAGTCAGAGAGACTATGTGACAAATTCCAACCCTGTTTCAACTGCCGATAAAAATTTCTGACGCAACTAATGATGAAGTTTAAAGCAACAGCTCAAATTTTAGTTGATGATTACAACTGGCAAGGTATCAAGCAGAACCGTGGCAAAGGTTGCATAAAGAATGGCTTGCACAGCCTACTCAGAGCTCAGATAATAAAATACAAATGTACAATATGCCAGTAAGGTCACCATAGTTACACCCCGAAGCCGAACAGAATGAACTTACAATCTTGCATAAAAGTCACAAAACTCTTTGTAGAGTTTTATGTCACTGTGTCTACGTTGCAATTTTGACACCGGTTTCTCGCCTTCATTTCCTGCAGAGTTGTGAGCATCAGGAGCGACCTTGTGTACAACCTCTTCATCCTCCGGGATGGGGTAAGGGTGAGCTCTGTGCTGGAAGTTCATCTCTCTCTAATCGCTTTCCCAGGTGTATATATTCTATGCTTACACTGCAAAGAAGCTGTAAGCAAGGTCTGCAAAACCATATGCTGGACTTCCCCTTGTTCCCAGCGAAGTGATGTACTTTCACAGCTCTGTGTCATGTAGCTGGAGCTGCTCAGTGCCCTGCTAGAGCTTCAAGTTAAAAGTTCAGCGACGGGGCGGTGAGCCCGTCACGCTGTGATTTACTGGCGCTGGCAGAGAGCGGAGGAGCACATTCCCCTGCCAGGCCCTTGTGCACACTCGGGTGCTGGAAAGGGGCTTCGCTGCCGGCTGCTGACAGAAGCTGCCGAGGAGAGCTGCGTTACGGGTAGCCTATGTGAGCGAACATGTTCACCGCCAAACTTGTCCGCAGCTACGTTCTGCTGAGGGGGGTGGAGGCGGATTCCAACAATATTTTATCATGGGCAAACCAGCAGTGGAAAAGATGAAGAGAAGTCTTTTGTCATTAGGTAAATATTGCTTTAATGCTACAGTATATTAACTACATTGTAAAAATGGCCTTTAATGCTCCACTTGTGACTTCTAAGTCATATGTGCTGAATTTATTTATAGGCATCTTTCTTCTTGTCAGCACTTCAGAGAAGGGGTAGGTACAGATGGATAGTTTCTGTTGTGTTTCACAGGCCATTAACCGAACTGCCAGGTATGCTATAATGGGCAATATATGAAGGAGGAAAAACGAAGCTTGATTTCCAGTGATGTGCTGCATTTAGAACAATTATCTAATGTAAGAACACTTCATAGATTTGAAAGCTGAAGTAATTTACTGTGGATATTAGGGAACTGAGAGAGCAAGACCAGGAAGAAAGAATAAAAATTAATCATTCTTTCACCACAGAATGCCCTCCTAATGGTTCAATTATTTCATGGTTATCTTCTATTTAAAAAACCTGTTGTGCACTGCTTACTAGGGAAGGCAGGGTTGATTAGCTGCAGATCTGCAGTCAATTACAACCCTGCAAGCCCTCCCTGCTTGAAGCACAGCGCTTGTAGCAGACGTGGGACACTTGGCTTCCAGCAACTTGTAACTGCAGACAAAGCAGGGTTTTGGGAAGCTGTCCCAAGTCACCATCTCTTGCGTTGAACTGACTCATCCTTATTAGCAATCGATTGAACTGCAGAACTGCATGCACTTTGTGCTCATTACACACGGCGTCTTGGTATCTGAAGAATGTGCTAGCCTGGGAGGGGGCATGAGAAAGCACAGGAGAGGAAGGAGACGAACAGAGGGAACAAGTAGAGAAATTAGGACTAGAAGATGACAAAGGATGTGACAGAAAGTCCAGTCAAGGCTACTACTTCTTAATATGCCTTCACCTTCCTAGGACCTACTACAGAGGGTCTAGTTTATGATGGTTTTGGGCCATATCTCTCACCACTAGTTGGGATAGCTTGCTCGGTAAGCATACAGCAGCACACACACCGCTCTCCATGCAGGCCTGAGCTCGCATGTAGCCATCTTCCCACAGCCTAGCCAACACAGCACTACGTTTCTGCTGCTGCCAAATTTGTGGGATGGGTTTGGTCAGGCATCTTTCCTTCACCTCCCCTCGTCAGGAAGCAACCTCTGGGCAAGCTCTTCCCCTGCGCCACAAGACATCACGGTAGGTGGGACTCAGGCAGCATGACCCTGCTTATTTACCCGTCCGTAGGTGTGATTATCCATCTCACACCAGAGCTACCAGGAGTCACAAGCTGTAACAGGCAAAGGAGGCTACACCCTCACCGCTTACACGGCTTGGCTGGAGCTCAAGCCCTATTTTTATCTGTCATGGAGCAAGCTCCAGATCAAGCAATACTCAGGTTGTAGCCCTAGGCCATGATGAACTTGCCAGAGTACCATTGCAGGAAACAGCGCTGGAAGAAAAGGTTCCTGCACCCGCTGGAGCACCAGTGATGAAAACGAGCGCTGTTTGCCAACAGAGATGCAGGCATAGCGATGCTGGCTCTTCTTCTCCATGCTGCTTCCCGACATTTCCTGCACAGGTCAATGCTGAACTTTTGTGGGTATGAAAAACTCCGGGGAGACTGCCTGCAATGGACTAACCATGCTGATTCATCCAGGGTTAGTGCAGGTGCACCCAGACACTAAGATAAGAAACAGGTCAGTCTGTCTCTTCCCCTTATCACTGACCATCTCCTCAATTTTCTTGTATTTTGTCCCAGATTGCAGGCAATTCTCCTGGGAGGCTGCTGCTGCAATTCAGAGAGCCCTGAAGAGTTTCTTTCTCCCAGTGAACTACTTCAGTCCTTGCAGTAACCTGAAATCCACAGGCTACCAAGGCGGCTGGAAGCCACTTTGCTGCCTCACGTCTTCCGTGGTCAACAGGAAAATATTTGCTTGCTTCTTCGGCTTGCTACTGCACAGTCTTCTGCATGGCTGTAGAAAAGCAAGTCAGTGCAATAAGATGTCCATCCAAAAAGCCTGTTTTAATCTTCCTAGCTTTTTTCAAGAAGCAATCCTACAAGGTAATAGGACTCCAAGTAGAAGCTGCCTGGTTCTTAAGGCCTATTGCCATTGCTGCTGGTGGAATTACTCCCAATTTGTTTTCCATTAAGCAAGAAAGGAGCTTGCCAGGAGTTTAAAAAGGGCCTTTCTGCTACTGAAGCAAAACATAGTTTCTACTGTGAAGGTTTGGTAGTCCACAAATCCAGAGAAGCTGCCCATCTTTCTCTTTTCTGTCATTTTGCTGGAGGCGTGCTGCCAAGATCTGAGATATGCTGTTAAAAATACACGGCATTTTCATTAGGGAATTCTAGGTTACTCTGAGGTGAAGCCATCCACGAGGAGCGAGAAGCGTGTAAGGGGTTGTTGATTTCCAGCAGCGGCTTTCCAAGGGCATTCCCTGGGATCTGGGACAAAACCTACCAGCCTGCTGTTAAGGAAGCAGTGATAAGGAGAGGGGAAAAGAGAGAAGTTCAGTATTTAATCAGAAAAGGTACGTAGGAAGGAAGAAGACAGAGAGGCTCCTCCTGGCACACTGAGGATCTTATCAGAAGCCAAAGCTGACAGCAGGGAAGGTGCTAAAGGAAACGGCAGAAGAGGGGAGGGGAAGCGTCCCACTGTGGCTACGGAGAAGGGCTTCGGAAAACAGCAGCAAAAATAGCCACACTGCTTTATCATCACGGACGGATGACTGCCGCTCTGCTCGCACGCTGCTTTCTCTGGAGAGCTGTCAAATCCAGCTGCCCATGCCGGTGGCTGCCAGAGGCAGACGGGGACTCTTACAGAGAAGGCTCAGTGGCCGGCCAGCCCAGCTGAGCGTTTCGCTCCATGCCACAAATAGACGTGCAGAGCAGTCACGGCTCCAAACAAGGTGCTTGGCAAAAGCAGCTGCTGCTTGGCAACCTACTCATGCCACCGTGAAATATCACTGCGTCACTGGCACGGTCACGAGGCCACGTGCCCCATCGGGTTATGCAGGGAGGGATAAGTAATCACAGCACATCCCTCCCCTTCCCGCATAGGTCAGGGTGATTTCATTTTAATTATATTTAACACAGATGCTATGCAATGGTACTCACACGCAAAATACGGAACAACTAGAACAGAAGTTTTGCTGCAAAATATGCGTGGATTTGCAGTGCCCTGCACTGATTTCTGCACCAACCTTTTAAAGCACTAATTGACCTTTTGCATCTTTTTTCATTTTTTATTGAAATTAAAAACACTCTTGGGTTCTGGTTGCTGCAATTGTTTGCCTCTTAAGCAATAAAATACTTTCCATGTTAAGCCGGTCTCCTAAGGCAATTTGAAAGAAGATATAAATCTCTGATTTCTATAATAAAGATGCACATTACGGGTAGGATTTTTCACATGTGCCCAGCACTGCTCTAACTTCTGTTTCTATTAAAAAGGATAGAAAACCATCCTGAAACCACTGCAATAAAAACTAGGTGAGTTCTGAGTTCTCCTAAAAGTTTCATCCTTTAGTCTTCACCACAAAAATCATGATTAAGCTTATGTGGAGGGAGTTTAAACAGGGCAAACAAAAAGGCAACTCTAGCTCCTTCATATACTTCAACATAAATTTATTCTAGTATAAACATGTCCAAAAAATGCTTTGGTCTCCGCAAACAGAGAAGGTTCACATTCCATCTCTCCATAAGGAAATGAATATAACTGGAATAAACAGGTAAGCAGCACCTTCCCACACAATGTTTTATCAGCCATACAAGCACAGTGAAAAATCAGTCTCTGACAGAACTCGTAGAAGGGGAGAGCAATATTTAACCATAGCACTTTCCTGTTGCAAGTAATATTTCAAGAAACTATTGTATTTTCTTCCTGCTGGTTACAAACATTACCAAACAAAGCCATGCTTTATGTAAAACAAGAAATTACTTCTTCTGTGTATGGATACTTGATATTTTTTAAAAGAGCCATCTCCTCTTTCCCCACTACTATATTTTGAATCTTACGCAGACAGCAAAAACAAGACAACAAAAAGATGCGGTATCACATATGAGAAGCTCACAAGAGGTCTAATAAATTTGTGTTCTATGAGACAGAGCATACTATTGGATATTCTTAAAATCTGCACCCTGTGTAATTGACTGCATGTATACTTGACTATGGTAAATACACCGTATCCAAACTCTTCCAACACAATACATTTTAAAGATGCATTTGCACTAATGCATTTCATATAATGACATTTATATCCCCATTTCTAATTTAAGAATAATAAAAAAGGTCAGCTACTCAATACTAGGGGCTACACATCAAATGTCTCTGAGACACTCACTCTGAAAAGAACCATCTTTTCAAGACCAATGAGAGAAGATCAGGCCCATCAAGCTCAAAACCATCCTTCTGTCTGGGCATACACACAGTGAATTTCATACCACCAAGGTCATTCAGTTCCAAAATTTGAAAGTGTTTGGGCAGAATAATATTTATACTGGTGGAAATCAAACCACTGGGAAGTCAAGGGATGAACAATAGAGTGTGATCAGGCAACTGCACGCAAATTACAACTCAGTGTACAACTCAGATTTAAAGTTCAAATACGTATAAGTATATGAGGTTGATCTTTGCATTTTCTGACATTTCAGG